ATATGGGTCTGGGTGAATGGGGATCAGGGGGAAAGGGGGGCAGGAGGAATTCGTGGTCAGGAGGAATGGGATCGGGGGGGAATGGGGTTCTGGGCGGTGGAGCGGGGTCTGCTCCTCTCCGTCGGCTCCTTAGCGCGGGCACAGCCTCCCCCAGCAGGTCTCCACCTTCGCCCTGACGCTGTACCAGCACCGTGCCCGCGTGGGCACGCAGGAGGTCCATGTGGGTGAGTGTGGAGCGGGCACAGCCCGGGGCAGGATAGGGCATGGTGTGGGCAGAGGGAGCAGCGTATGACTGTGTGACTTGTGCCACTGGTGGGCTCCTCTTGTGGCTGTGCTGGGCTATGCCCCTGCAGGGAGCTGTGAGGGGAGCAGAGCTGGGTGAGCTGTGTCTCTCTGAGCTGCTGTGTGCATTGCAGATTTCTGGGACACGGCGGGGCAGGAGCGGTTCCGGAGCGTGCACCCCTCCTACTACCACCAGGCACACGCCTGCATCATGGTGAGGGTCTCTGTGGGGCTTGGGTGGTCCTGGCCACGCTTGGCCTTTGTGGTACTGCTGTGGTGACACTGCTGTGTGCTCCTTGTCTCCTTTAAAGAACTCCCCTAGATTGTTCTCACCCAATGAAGCTCTGTACCAAAGGAGGCCACATCTGGCCCTGCTGGCACAGCCCATTCCCAGTGCTGCCTCGGCTCCCTGGTTGGGTGACAGGAGCTTGTAACAGGGCACAGTCACAGTGTGAAGGACACTGAGGAGCTGTTTCCTGCTGGCTGCATGTGCCAGGGCTTCTGGAGACTCCCTCTTATCCTTGTGTCAGTCAGGGCCATCCCAGGTTGGTCAGGGCTGTCCCAGAACAGCTGTGTTTCTTTCGGAAGGTCTTCGATGTGCAGCGGAAAGTCACCTACAAGAACCTGAGTGGTTGGTACAAGGAGCTGAGGGAATTCCGCCCGGAGATTCCCTGCATTGTGGTAGCCAACAAGATTGATGGTGAGTGCACCTCGTGCTCCAACCTCCCAGGGCTGTGATGGGATTCACTCCTGCCCTGGCTGAGACCCAATGTCCCTGCTCTGTGGGGGTCCAGAGCAGCTCCTGAGCGCCCCAGGGCTGGGGCCTGAGCTGGCCTCACCTGTTTCCTTACCTGCTTGTCCTGTGGCACCAGCAATTGGAAGGGAAAATTTGATCCATTTGAGGTTTATCCAAGTGATATCCTTCCATTTCCATCCTTACCACACTGCCCATTCCACCCAGCAAGAACCCAAAGGTGATTGGAGCAGCACCTGGTCAAAAAGTGCAGGAAAAGGAGCAAAACCTGCTGTGTGGCTTCCTGGGTCAGTTAGGGACAGCCTTGGTGCTGCTCCCCCAGCCTGTCCAGACTCCTCTGTGCTCAGGTGTCTCAATGGACCTGCTGGAAAAACCATTCCACTGGCTTGGAGGTGTTTGGATGTGTCCACACCCTGGGACTGGAATGCCAGCCAGCCCTCCCCTGGCTCTGGAGGTGTCTGGATGGATCCATCCCCTGTCCATGATTGCTGTCACTGACCTGTCTGTTCCACCCAGAACACACCCACCCTCGGGGCCTCTGCCCTGTCTGACTGAGCACACCTTTCTCTGCCCCAGCGGATATGAAAGTGACCCAGAGGAGCTTCAACTTTCCTCGGAAGTTCAATTTGCCCTTTTACTTCGTGTCTGCTGCTGATGGCACCAACGTGGTAAAGGTGAGGTGAGCTGTGAGGCCTCTCTGCAGCACAGGGCTGTGGGGGCTGCCGTGGGCACAGGGAGCAGGAAGGGGCTGGTCCATCCCTTCAGCTCTGTCCAAGGAGCTGGTGGCTACGGAGAGTTGCAGGGGTTGTTTGTCCCTTGGGATGTGGGAACAGGCTCCATCTGCTACAGACACCCAGTGCCCTGTGCTGCGAGTGACACCTTGTCCTCCCCACCAGCTCTTCAACGATGCCATCAGACTGGCTGTGGCTTACAAGCAGCACTCAGAAGACTTCATGGACGAGGTCATGCGGGAGCTGGAGGTAGGGAAGGCTCTGTCCCTGCTCCTTCCTGAGGGATGAGCAGCTCTGCCCTTTTCCCCTGTGGCAAAGGGTTGAGCTTTGCAGCATGGGAAGCTTTGGCCTGTGCTGGTGACCCTGAGGGGTTTGTGTGCTGCTCATGGCTGGGCTGGAGGGGAAGGCAGAGACCCTCAGCAGAGCTGCCCTAGGATGGGTTGGGAAGAGCCACAGCTGGTGCAGCCTCTGTCACTTCTCAGCAGTTCCTTGTCCTTTCCAGAGCTTCGACCTGCAGCAGATGAGTGAGGAATTGTCGGACAAAGAGGAGAGCTGCCCTGAAAAGGAGCCCCAGTCTGCCTAGGCCTGGACCCTGAGCCCGATGTTCCCTTGGCTCTGGATTTCTGGGGTCTGCACAGAGGACAGTGATGGTTCCCGTGCCCTGGTGCTGATGGGCAGCTGGGCCTCTCCCCTCCTTTGTGGGAGCCCATCTGGGCAGGACCTCCCTTGGCTCAGCCCTCACCGCTGCACATCTCCTCATGGATGAGGTGGGAGGATCCACATGGATCATTGCGTGTTCCTGCTGCTCCTTCAGGGCAAAGCTGCCAGGATTGCTGAGCTGCTCTGGGACCTGCAGGGAGAGTCCTGGCCACCTCTAGTGGTAGCTGCTGCAGAAAACAAACACTAAAGGATGTTTTTACAGAGCTCTGAGCTGCACTGCTGCTGCAAGGGGCAAGTCCCAGGCAGTGCCAAGGGCCAGCCCTGCCCTGCCCGCAACCCTGGGAGCCTCTGCCCCCTGTGACCTCTGCTGTGACATTCCTGCGCTCCATCCCTGTCCTGTCCCAGCTGAGCCAGTGCTGCCTCTGCCCCCTGTGACCTCTGCTGTGACATTTCTGTGCTCTATCCCTGTCCTGTCCCAGCTCCATTGCTGTCCTAGCTGAACCAGTGCTGCCTCTGCCCCCTGTGACCTCTGCTGTGACATTCCTGCGCTCCATCCCTGTCCTGTTCCAGAGCAGCCAGACCCAGTGGGCAGCTGAGCCCACGGGGTTTCTCCTTCCAGGTCCCCTCAGCTGGGCTCACACCAGGGCTGGTTCTGTCCCTGCCTGATGGATGTGGCTGTGGCCCTGGCCATGTCCCTGTGCGCTGCATTCCAAAGAGCTGGATACACACACAGTTATACAATCACAGAACCATCAAACTAACTTTATTTCAACACCTAAGGCGCATGAGCAGGAGCAGAGTGGGCAGAGGTAGCCCGAGTGGCCCTTGGCAGGAAATGGCCATGGGCCACTGCAACCCTGGATCCTGCTCAGGTATTTTAATCTTTGAGGAGATACAGGAGCACCTGCAGCAGGGCCAGGAACCTCACCAGGATGTGGTAAGGGAATGGTGTGGGCCTGACTGCGCCCGAGGACACTGGGCCCTGCTTGGGGTGTGAGATGACAGCTGGTACTGGCTTTTGGTTGTGTTCAGGCCTCGAGGTAACATCTGGCTCTGGCCTCGGGTTGTGCTCAGGGCTCGGGTTGTGCTCAGGGCTTGGGTTGTGCTCAGGGCTCGAGGTAACCTCAGGCTCTTGCATTACAGCAGCTATTTCTGGTGGGCTCAGGCCTGTCTGGAGGAGGATCCAGTTGTAGAAGTGTTGTGTGGAGGTGTAGATCCCAGGCCTCCTGGTTGTGGTACAGCCTTTTCCCCAGCTGCTCAATCCCACGACCCAGAAGGAATCAGTTCTGCTGTCCTTGCAGATGAGAGGACTCCCACTGTCACCCTGCAGCCAGGAGAGAGGGCTTAGGGCTCTGGGGGCTGTGCCAGGGCCACATCCACACCCTGGGGCTGCAGGAGCTCTGAGTGGGCTTTGTGGGCCAGGGCCAGGGGACAAGGGCACAGGGCAGGACAGATATGGGTCATGGACAGAGACACATGGATGGGGAAGGGCAGATATGGGGCATGGGACAGGGACACATGGATGGGAATGGCGGCACAGCCCCAGCAGCAGGGCACACCCAGGGCTGGGAGGGAGACAGGGCAGCCACAGCCATGCCAGGCTGTGTCTGGAGGGTCCCTGTGCTGCCTGGCTGAGCTCTCTGGCTCACTCCTACCTGGCAGGTGTCGATGCTGCCCCGCGGGTACCCAGCACACAGGTTGTGGGCGTGCATGGCCCCCGCGTACCAGCGGCTGCTGTTGCACAGCTGTGTGTCCATCAGGTGCACCTTGGCCTCCTGCAACTCCAACTCAAATCCTGGAGCTGTGGGCACAGAGGGCAATGAGCCCCAGAGCTCAGTGCCTGGGCTGAGCCCCTGCCCCAAGCTCTGCCCCGAGCAGTGCTGTCCCACCATGTCCCTTGCCAGGCTCCGGGCACGGGGCCAAGGCTCTCTGCAGTGCTCACGGAGTCATGGGATGCTTCGGGTCAGAAGGGACCTTACAGCCCAACCAGTGCCACCCCGGGGTGCCCAGCCCTGTCCCCGGGTGCTGAGCCCCAGGGCGCACACAGCTCCTTGCCGGGACTCACGTTTGGGCGTGGAGAAGCTCCAGCCTGCGATGTAGCAGTGCTTGAGCTGCGAGACGCTCAGCGAGGGCTCGGGCAGACAGCCCAGCTGGATGGAGCGGCCGCACTCCACGGGCCGGTCCAGCTCCAGCACCGCGATGTCGTTCCGAGCCAGGGTAGCAGCATAGTGCTGGTGCACCAGGAGCCTCTGGATGTGCCGCACCTGAGCCTCAGGGCTCCCCTGGGCCAGGTTGGTGACTCCGACCACCAGGTTCCACGTGGAGATGTCCCTGGGGGTAAATGGAGAGAGGGGAGAAAAGCAGAGTCACAGTTTCCCACCCTGCTGCTTCCCGAGGCACAGAGGGCAGAGCTGGGCCGGGAGCAGCACACAGAGCTGTGCCCTGGGCACAGTCCATGTCCCAGGGTGCCCAGTACATGGCCCCGTGGTGTCCATATCCCCAGGGTGTCCATGTCCCCAGCATGCCCAGTCCCCGTCCCCATGGTGCCCTGTTCCTGTCCCAGTGTGCCCAGCCCCTGTCCCCAGGGTGTCCCTGTCCCAGGGTCTTGGTGTCCCCAGCATGCCCAGTCTCTGTCTCCAGGATGCCCAATTCCCCCTGGCCCTGCCCCTTCTCACTTGGCCTTGGCAAAGCAGTGAGCGACAGTGATGACCCACAGGGGGTGGATAAGAACCCCCGAGCACATGTGCCACGTGCCGTTTTCCCAGGTGACCTGGATGCTGGCGATGCCAGCCCAGGCCCCTGGCAGGACGCGGGTACCACCCTCCTGGTAGAATGTGCCACTGGCAGGACCCATGGATCCCATGGAGCCGAGGTCAGGTTGGTAGTCGGAAGGCAAAGCCAGGGGGCTGTAGTCGGCGCTGGAGCTCTCGTGGGATGGCGAGGGCCGGAGCCCACAGGTCGATCTGCAAGCACAAACCATCACTACCTGCTCTCCCACCCAGGCTGGAGCTCAGGCAGTGCTGAGGGCACAGCTGTCCCCCAGCCCTGCTACAGCCCCACAGGGCTGCTGTGCCAGAGGGAGCACTTACCCACAGGTGTCCTGGGTGCCATGAGTGTATTCCACCATGCCCAGCAGGAGCAGGAGCCACAGGAGAGCCATGACTGTGTTTGTACTGCCAGAACTGAGGCAACACCTCCAGTTCATCTGCTGATAGAGCCCACAGCCCTGGCAACACCCTGGGCTGGGCTGATGTCATAGAGAGGCTGTTCCATGTGCTGGGCACAGGGCAGTGACATCACAGAGCCCTGGAGCTTTGGGATGGGTAGGGAGGGAAGGACCTTAAATATCATCCAGTGCCACGCCCTGCCCTGGGCAGGGACACCTCCCACCAGCCCAGGCGGCTCCCAGCCCCGTGCAACCTGGCCTGGAACGCTCCCAGGGTGGAGCAGCCACAGCTGCTCTGGGCACCCTGTGCCAGTGCCTCAGCACCTCCCAGCCAGGAATTCCTTCCCAATATTCCACCTGTCCCTGCCCTCTGGCAGTGGGAAGCCATTCCCTGTGTCCTGGCCCTCTAGGCCCTCTCCTACCTTCTCTGCATCCTCTGATCAGGGTCTCTACTCCGTTAACTAATGGGCCCTCTACAATCTCGTGGTCACTACTGTGTCCAACCTTCACATCTCCAACGAGGCCTTCCCTGTTGGTCAGTACAAGGTCAAGCAGCACAACATTCCCTGTGGAATCTGCACTGCCTGTGGTGAGAATGTGTCATCGATGCTCCCCAGGAACCTCCTGGACTGTTTGTGCTTTGCTGTGCAGCTTTTCCAGCAGATGTAAACTAAAGTCCCACACAAGAACCAACTAGTGCTGTGACTCTGAGGCTCCTCTAAGCTGCCTGGAGAAGGCCTCGTCCACTTCCTCCTCCTGCTCAGGCCTGTGGCACACACCCACAACAGTGTCACCCTGACAATACCCCAGGGAGGCCCAGGGATGCCCCCAGTCCTGACTGCTGGTTGTGCCTTTGGCTCGTATGCTGAGAGGTGTTCCCTCAGGCCTCCTCCTCTGGCTAACGTTTCCCTGTCAGATTCTGCTCACTCAGGACTCCCTGGCTCATCCCATTGGGTCATGGAGGGAGTCAAGGTGCTCCTGTGCCCATGGGATTGGGACCCCTGAATGTGGGGTCCCTGTCGCCCCCCACAGCCCATGGGATTGGGACCCCTGGATGTGGGGTCCCTGTCACCCCCCACAGCCCACAGCATGTCCCCATCTCTCCACTGTGCCCCACAGCATGTCCCTGTGCCACATCCCTGTGTCCTGTCATTCCTGCCTGCCTGCCTCCTCCCCCCCACAGTGTCTCTGTGCCTTGTCCCTGTCTCTCCCCTTGTGCCCCGAGTGTGTCCCCCATGTCCCTGTCCCCCCATCCTCCCTAGCATGTCCCCTCACATCTCCATCCTC